TTCAGGGAGGGAGGCTGGGAAGCAACATGAGGGGGGAGGGAGGCTGGGCCTCAGGGCTCGGGCCGGGCCTCAGGGCTGGGGCCGAGCCCAGTCCCCACCTAGGCCTCCCCCGAGGGCACGGACAGGCAGCCCCAAGGCCCCCGAGCGACTGGAACTGGACACAAGGTTACAGGAACCTCTGGGAAGGGAGGACCCCCGTGGGGTCAGGACTCACCTGGGCTCCCCGCGAGGCAGGTCCCCGAGAAGAAGGGGGTCAGAAGCAACAGCCACAGCATCTGCAAAGAGAGAGGGCACGGAGGGACAGCTCAGGGCCGGAGGGGGCCAGGGGCCTCTGTAGCCGTGTGAGAGGGGACAGCATCCCTACCTTGCCAGGCTCCACGGGTCTCTGCTCTGGGGGCCCCCGAGGTCCTTTATCTTTTGGCCACAGGAAGTGGGCGGGTGGCTTGGGCAGCGTTCCATTGGGGGGGTGGGTGAGGGTGGAGGGTGGGGAAGAAAGGCAGCCGGGTGTCAGGCAGAGTGTGTGCAGGGAGGTGGGGAGCCGGTTCCCCATCAAACACCCGGGAGGCCAGACTCCCACCCTGGCCGCCCACCCCCGGCTGACTGCGCTTCTCACCACACGTCTGAGCACCAGAGGCCACAGAGCCCGTGGCAGGCCTGGCCCGGGGCGCTGTCCACCCACCCTGCCCCGCTTCCGGCCAGTGCAGTCACGTCTCTTCCCGCGTGTTGGCCCGGCCGTCATGGCCACGGAGGGACCCCCGCACGTGGTGCAGCGCCCCCGTCCCCGGGCCTCTGCCCCATCCTGAGTGGACAAACCCGGCTTCACAGCCCACCTTCCCAGCTGCCACCAATAGCACCCATCCAGGTGGCCTCCAAGGGGGCAAATGACCCAATTTTTGTGGCGAGTCACACGGTGTCCCGTAAAGTTCCCCCTGATGCCGTATTGAGGCATGGGGAGGGTAGAGGTCCACGGTCTGAGATAGGTTCCTTCGACACCACCCAGGAGAGTTGGGTGTAAGCCTATGGCTCCTTCTACATCAGCCAATCCAATCTACATCAGGGACCCTGAACCCTGTGAGCCCCTTTTTCCTAACAGCTTAGGGAAGCAGCCAGCCCTCCAGCAGCTTTTGGGTCCTGGCTGGGCCACCAAGGGTAAATGTCTGGCTGTCCATGTGCTGCCAGGATTGCTTTAGCAAATGTCAACATGAGCAGCTGCTGTACGGGGGATTCTCCTCCATTGTGATCAGGGCCTGGGACAAAACATGACGAGCGAGAGAGAGACAGGAGTGCCCTGTGCTCCTGGACAGGGCTGCATGCACAGAGCAGATAGCCTGAAGCCTGGGGAGAGGTGGACAAAGAGACAGGTAAGGAGAGAGAAACTGCATGAGTGATAGGGGAATGGGGCAAGACCGAGAGAGTGAAAGGAAGAAACACAGAGAGGTGTGGTTAGAGAGAAACAGAGACAAAGAGGAAGTACAAGTAGAAAAGTGGAGACCTGGTCCAGGTACGTGGACGGGGTGAGATGGGCCAGGGGAGAGGGGATGTGTGAAGTGGCTCTGAGTGCTGGGGCAGAAAGGGCTGGTATCGTGGGCACCATAGTTTCATGACTCTACGACACAACATCCCTGGGGCCAAGCTCTGCAGAGGCCATTGCAATTGAAAAGATGGGTATCCCTCATTTCTCCTGGAATTGTGGGGCTCAGCGTTATGTTCTGTCATGGAGAAGGATGACTTCAGGGAGAGTGTGCTGCTCTTTGGCAGGTAAACTCCAGAGCCCGCCCTGTGGGGAGGTGTCCCGGGGTCATCTGCCTCACTGCCCCAGGTCCTGTGGGATTTCCCCCCTCCCGCCACCAGCTGGCGTTCCTCATGTTCTGAACCCAGGCATGAGACATTGTGTTGCCCCCAGGTCCGGCAGTCTGGACCTGGCAGAGTTGAACTGCTGATATTCATAAAAAAGTATTTGACAAGAAGGCCCGTATTCTCCCTCTGGAACGAGCGGTGTG